TTCCATAATTTTATAATTTCCCAAAAATAGCTATTTTAAGTATATTCATTAAATAAATATCCTAAATGTCTTCGAAACTTTATTTTATCATGTTAATCTCTATTTATGTACAAAATCAAAAATATTAATAAGGGTAAAATGAATCCAATTAAGCAAGATCCAGGTATTGAAAATCCATATATCCAAGAAATATGATTTTTAGATCCATACAGTAATGATACATCACCTGATATGTATTTTATATTTGAAATCTATCTAACAACTAAAATAGAAAAAAATCTAATTATAAAAAATAAATATTATTACTGATTAAGTAAAGAAGCATAAATTTGTACATACATTTATAAGATAGTAATTGAAATAATTAGGCTTTTGAATTTAGTGTTTTTAATTATTGAAAAAATTTTAAAACCAATAAAGATTACTAATATTTAATAAAGCATAAGAACTAACATAACTATGATTCTACTATAAATTAATTCTATCTCTTAAATTTCAGACAAAAAACATTCAAAAAAATTGGTCATAAAATATGAAATATCATTTGATTATTTAAAAATACCTAAAGATATGGTTAATTTAATATTAAATGTAAAGATGAGTGAAAATTTCCATAAATAATTAAGAAATAATTTAAATAAAATACTTTCATGATCTAAATATTTTAATATAAATAAATTAATACCTTAATTCAGTTTGAATAAAATATGAGCAAACTTTTATCTAAGTTTAAGTTATGCAAATAATATATTTGATTTTTCAATACTGCCGATAGTTAATAGTGCCCTATTATTTATTAATATTTGCAATACCATATTGAAATTAAAAAAAATGCTATTAACCTCTTGGTAGCATCCTAACATTGCTCACATTCTACTGATTATTAATTTAAAAAAAATTATCCATCACCTCTTATATTAAATCTATCGCATTCTTCAAAAAGTTCTCCTAAATGTCCCTTAAAACATAAATCTTTATTAACACCCCACCTCCTTAACAAAGATATTGGTTTTTATAACATAATTCTACATCATCAGAACTGTAATGTGGTCTCCAATAACCAATTTTTAATAGAATTTAATTCGATGCAATTGCTTCAAATTTATTTTTATCAAAAATTGAACATTTTGTTGCATTATATGTGACTGAATAAAATCCTTATTCTGATTAACATTATTGGCAACTTGAGGAAATATAAAACTCCCCTAATTAACAGAGAAAGGCTTTAGCTCTCATTAAATATGCTAAACTCTCATCATAATAATTTGTTTTACAATTAATTAAAATTTCTTAAATTTTGTCATCTTGCTCAAAAGGATCCATAATAAAATCTAAAACACCTAAGTTAAAACTTTTTGTTTCATTCTCAAAATTTATTTTTGATATTTGGGTTGATTCCATTACTGTTTATTTTTATATATCAAATAATTATTGTATTATATTACAAGAAGTGTTGAAAAAGTTATTTTGTTGTTCATTCAAACTATTTTTAAACAAAATCCTAATATCATGAATATAAGATTAATAATTCAAAAGCTTAGGATTATAAAGTTGATATTTTGATATTTATTGACCGCTTGGAACAAATAAAAATTATGCATATACTTAACGATCTTACGATATGATTTTATATGGTTTTAATATTAAAAATTATACAGGATGATGTTCAATTGTTTCTTATTGAGAAACCATTTCTATATGATTAAGAAATAATGATAATCTTGATGGTGATTCATTTAAATTATTCGAAAATTATTAAGCATAATTTTTATGAGTAGAGAATAAATAAAATTATTTTGATTTAATCTGTTATTTCCACTCAAATATAATCCACCTGCTTTATCTGCTTAATTATTACAAATAGCTTTAGATGATATTTTAAAGTTATAATCACTCAATTCAAAATATATACCACCTCCTTTCTGAGATGCTGTATTCTTAATAATATAAGAATTTGATATAAGAATTCTTAAATTTTAGACATAAATACCTGATCCTAAACTTCCATCGTTAGAAATAAAAGTTGATTGATCAATTAACATTTTACCTTCCAAATTATCATTTGATTTAGCTGCTATACAACCATATTATTTTATTTTGTTTTTCATACAATATAAATCTGAAACTTTAATTTTCTCAACATTTATAATATCAAAATACAGTAAACCATTCCAACAATGATCACAGATATTATTAAAGATAATAATTTTAGTTAATAAGGCCCTTGTTAAATTTGTGATACTCTTTATTCTAATGAATCATCCATTTTGATTTGACTTTGAAGTAAATTCATCAAAAAATTTATCAACAAATTCTTATTTTTTAATTTATTAGATTATTTATTAATTGTTGAGATTACATAGAACAAATTTTAAATGAATATGATCCTGCTTATAAAAAGTTAAATTTTTAGTTAAATTCTAATATCAGAAATCAATCAAATTTGAGATTGTAATGTTATTAATAGTGATTGTAGATTATAAAATATTGTTTTATTATATATCTATTAAATTTAAGGGATAAAAAGTTGAAATATAAACAAGTTGTAAATTTCCCAATTTTATAGAATTTGAATCTCTAATTTTAATTATTGAGGATAAAATTATCCACTCAATTCATAATCCTATTAACTAAATTTGGCATCCTAAGAAATTCATCATTGCATTGTCATCAATAACTTTTTGAAATTCTAATGAACTAATTTTTCCAATAGAGTGAAGGAATATAAGTAAAGCTTATTCATTTTAAACAATGTTAAGATTTTCTATATAAATTTTATTCTTATCTGCATTTTAAAATTCAGATTAAAAATTAATTATTGAATTAACAAGAGAAAAGCAATTTTTAACAATGATATTTAAAAATTTAATATTATTTTATTTCAATGATGGATATATTAAAAAGAAAGATTATAATAGTTTATTATATACATGTTCCAAAGTAATATTTTCAAGTATTATTTTTAATAAACTTTTCCTGCCATTTATGGTAATAGCTCCATCATTTTCATAATTTGAAATTAGTGAATTTTACGCATGAATTATGCTACAATTTTTGATGATACCTATCCCTTCACCTTATAAATAAATGTTAAATATTGAATTGCTTTCGGCTTAAATATAACTAAAGAATCCTTTATTGATTGTAAATTTGGTAACAAACATTGAGAAAATACCTCCAATATTCTATATCTTAAAAGATTATTAAATTGCATAAGAAATTTCATTCTCATTGTATTCTCCTTAGAATAGAATATCATAATATTTTATCCAAAATTCTTTGTTTAGCCAATTATGATTTAAGACAGTAATATTTTCTAATTAGACTTCATCAGAGGATATTGAAAGAAATGATTAGGTAGAATTTGTCAAAGAATTATAAATGCATAAAATGTCTTTCAGAATTATAATACTTTATTTTGTATCAAAATACATCAAGCTAGCTTAAGTTTAAGAGGGATCTGTCTAGTATTAATGGAAAATATTTTCTTCAAAAGTTAACTTAGTAATTGCTATATATAATTAATTTTTTGAGTAAAATTCCATTAAAGAAAAAAGTATGCCTAAATTCTATTTTAATAAAATGTTTCCCTTCATTATAGAATGTTTTATATATATGTATTCATTTTGATTAGATGTATTCAAAGGATTAGAATAAATTGATACCAATGATAAATCTACACTAAATTAACTTTTTACTTGTATATTCTAAATAATAACTCTATTAAACCCAAAAATTTACAATAATTATGACTAAGGAATACAAATTCTTAAGCAATCAATTTAATAAGGCACTTTATATTCCTGAATTAAATTATCATACACTAATTATCAATTTGTATATAAGGTATATCTAATAAAAATAAGAAACGAAAATTTGTTGTATTTTTTAGAAAAAAATTTTTAATTAATAAAGTAACACAGTTTATTGTAATAAGAATATTTTCGTTCTTATAAGAAGGAGTATTATCTTCAAAATTAAAATTTAATAATAAAAAGTCAATATTATTAAATAATTATTTTTGTTATGTAATAAATACTGAAAAATTTGTTAGATGATTGTTTTTTATATATAAGTTTTTCATCTAAATTTCTATGATTGATTGTATTGATTAGATTTATGCGATTAATTAAAGCTAAAGAAAATAATTATCAATTATCATAATATCATTACAATAAAAGTTATAATTAAATACTATAAATTAAGAACTTAAGATCTAATTATTGATAATTGATAAATTATTAATATTTAAAGTGGTTGTATCCAAGCTATATATTAGTTTTGAATTTTAGAATAAACAATTTGATATTACTAATTCATTTAAGAATACATTAGATATACTATTTTAATTCATTTTAAAAATAAAAATACAAGAATCAATTGTAAAATTCTTGATAAAAATGTTTCTATTTACATTCTAAAAATAAAATAATGTTGAATTTATAATTTTACAATCCTAAAGTTTTATATTGTTAATCGTAATATCTTCATTCAAACCTTCACAAAATATATCAAAAATTATTGAATTTCCAATGCTTATATCTGAAATTGTAAAATTTTACATATTAAATTATTGAAAACTATCTGCATTAATAGATATTATTATAGGATAACTTTAGTTAGAATAAAACTTTGTATTTAAAATGTAAAAATTAATTGATTAACCTCTATTTCTCAATATCATTTCGATTTAAAATAATATTAAAAAAATAGCATTACTTATTACAATTTAATCATATTTTTAGACTTAAAAAATAACTTTGTTATTAAAAATTATAGGATTTATACTACCCTTAATAATTAATTCGCTTAATCTTATAGAAATTATATTTTCCTTAAAAGAGTTCATTAATATGTATTCTATTCTTCCGAAATTACAGTAGAGTTCTAAATTTATTGTGATAGGGATGTATTTGAGTCCAATTTCATTTAAATATTTATAATTATACTAAATATATTTGAAATCGTTTATATTAAAGCATTCTACTTCATCCTAAGTTATTTAATATAATAATACATAAATAAATTCTAATTTATAGTTACAATTATCTTAATAACAATATTAAGCAATTGCTAAGATTGGATCAATATGAATTTTGCTTTCAAATGGAACTTTTTAGATACATCTAAAAGTATAAATGGAGTTTTTCTGTATTTTATATAAAATAAGGATTTATTTGCTATTATAATTATTTCTAATACATTAATTTCATTAGTAGATCTATTCAAGCAAACTTAACATAATGAAGGGCATTCTATGCATTTTCTATCAGCTTATACTCTAATTAGTTCTTTATAATAATTTCTCTTGCATTGAGAACACTAAAATTTGGAAAATGGTAACTATTTTACTGTCTCACATACTGAACAAAATTCATCACAATATTGTTAGCATTCATTTTCTAAAATTCGATATCCTTGAAGACACTCAATTACTATTGTATTTGGTCTAGATATATCATAATTTATTCTAGTTTTAGGTGGCAAGAATTAAATTACAAAACCTTGAAATTACCATTTCCCTGGTTCTAATAAATTATCTTATTAGCATTATTTTGAATTAAAAATAGGACAAATGCTGCAAACTCCTGTTATAGAAGACACAATATAACCATCTTCACAAATTAAACATTTTATTGTTGTTTATATAGTTTTGATACATTATTTACAATGTAGAATAAGGTCTTGACAATTTATTTTTTCGAAAGATAAAGTGAAATCATTTGATAGTGTGCAAATCTCTCTTTCTTCAAGATTAATATAAGATCTGAGGCAATTTTATTAAGTCGGTTTTTAGTTGATACAAGTTGATGTAGTAAATTCAAATATATATCCCTCTCTGCACTAAGCACATCCTAATTTTATCTCCTCATCATTAAGTGAAAAACTTTCTAAATTTTCAAGTGTAGATTTTGTTGGATCACTAGCTAAATAATCAAAACAATATTAACAATTTTCTAGTTTACAAGTTACACACTTCTTATAAAAATTTAAATAATTTGGAGCATAACAAGTATTATTGGCAAAACTCGCATTTGGAGTCCTATCTAAACATAATTCTGTTGTTGGTAAAATCGCGCATTTCTTACAATCATTTATGCACAAATAACAATTTTCATTTATCGATTGACTGACAGAGCATAAATTTTTGACTATTAATGATGCTTCAATTAAATCGTATGGTGCTTTCACATTCAAATCACAATTAGGACAGTATATTAATTCATCTCCTGCAAATAAGTATTACAAATTTTCATCTTCAAAATATTTAGTAACACTTCCATCCTAGTGAACAAGTAAAGATGTTTAACAAAGGAGAGTATGAATCCATGATTTTGGATTAAAAATACATTCTAAACATGTTATTACATTATTTGTAATTATTGATACCATTTAAAGCAATCATCATTAATTTCAAAAAACCCATATTTACATTATTTATTAAATTACTAGACTTCAATTTTATTTAGTTATAATGTTTAATAATTAACACACTCATTATTCTAATCAATAGTTCCATATTCACATATACAAACTTTAAATTCTGATACATATCTTCTATTTGAAAATTCATAACATGATAAACAATCATCTTTTGTTGGACCATCAAATTCTTTGCATGTTGGATGACAACTTATCTACAGATTATTAAAATCAGGGCAATTAAATCATTAAAATCCTACAAGTTGAAGAGTTAAATAGTTAGATTTTGATTAAAAAATATTTCCATATATTAATTTAAATTATACCATTTAGAATTAAACTACTTCTTAAGTAAGGCTAAATTTTTCTTAAGTTTATCCCTAATAAAATGTAATAGTAATTGAAATAAATTAATCTGATTTTTCAACAAGAATGTAATGCCACAATTAAATATCATTGGTCACATCAAATTCAACTTTCTTTAAATAAGGATTGGTTGAAAAATCAATATTTACAACAGGCAAAGTATAGCTATAAGTAGTTAAAATGATTTAATTTATTTAAGTTGATAATTTGTATAATAATTAAAATGCACATAAATTTTCTTAAATTAGTTAAGGATGCTAAAAATTACCCATTAATTTAAATAACAAAAACTAAAATTCATTGGAGATTTTATTAATTTCTAAATTTTTTATCCATCCTGCTAAATGAAATTATTAACAATTAGTGTTTTAGGATAAAAATTCATATATATCTTAATTTTAGATTTTAACATGTGGTAAATCTGTTATTTAATTATTTTTGCAATTACATGGTTTTTATTGTCTTGATTAGATTAATTCAAAAAATTAATCAGGTATATCATAAAAACAATTTTAGAGATAATATATTTATCCTGGAAAATACGATAGTATCTTATTTTCAAATAAATAAAATTTTGATGTCTGTTCTACTTTAAAATCTCCACCAATAATTTAAGTAAAAATATTTTCTTGAAATGGAAACCTAATTTATACATCTTTGGAAAATATTTAATTCATTTATTAATCCTAAATATATATAGTTACTCTTTTTTCTAAAGGACTTGCCAAGAATCCATTGAAATACCGAACACCTTCATATGAAATTAAATCGATTGAAATTTATTCAGTTGTAACTCTATTATCACTATCTAAAAATTAAAAGTATTTCTTAACCATTTTTTCCTCAAAACTTATGCATTCAAAATATAAAAAATATACATTGCTATCTACTTTTTTTTAAATTCTAAATTAATGAAAGCAGCTACTATAAAGTATTCCGTATTCTCCTGTTTAGACAATATTACTCAAAGGAACATATTTACTCCAAACTCCAAAACATGCACTTTCTCCATCAAGACTATTCGATTATTTTACTTCAAATTATTTATATGAATAAAATGTCGGTAATATTGTAATGCTCCAGCACAAATATGTTTGAATTTCAAAACATATTACTATCAGAAACGGAAAAGATATAGTTTACTTCATTCTAAAGATTAAAATATTTTTGATTATTTGTGATTAATAAATGATTTAAAACTTAATTTTTTGCTATTATAGAATTCTCTTTTCAATTTATATCTATTATTTTGTGTAACAAAATAAATAAATTCTGAATTTATTATGGAGCTTTCAGAATTAACAATATTGATATGATTAAAATTTGAAGACTAAATAATAAAATTATTCATATTCTTATTATTAGAGAATGGAAGGACAATAATTCTGTAATGAAATCAAAGTTTGATATATAAATATCCATTAATGCGGAGTGTTATTAAAGATAAGGCAAGGTAAATTAATTGATGATAATTTTGAATTTACACTAACACCGACTCAAATTGAATAAAATTTTGATTATAATATTAATTTTTTTGAGTAATTTTGAAATTTTACTCAAATATTTATTTTTGAAAACTAGAACGATTTTTCTAAAAAGAGTGAGTTTTATGAAGCAGATATATAATAAATTTGAAATTTAAGTAATAGATACAATATTATTATAATTAAAAATAATATCTGCTAATTTTATGTCTAAAAAATTGAAGCATAAAATAATTCGGAAATATTTAATTGAAATGTCTCTTTTTTGGGATTTCAATTATATATTCTTTTTAAACTCATTTATAATTTAATATTTCTTTCAATCAATCATAAACTTTACATTTGATATTAGTAGATATGTTCTATTGGGATTTAATTTAAAAAATTAACTTTTTAAGCATTGATACAATTTGGAAGATATTTTAGATAGAGCAAAATTATGTTATTATCTAAAAATCTCATTATTTAAATCATGATTAAAATTTTTTTTTTAAGTTTAATTCTAGAAATATGAATAATATTAATATATATATATCTAAAGCTTGATAAATAAACGCAATAAACCACTATATTAAAGCTAATAAAACCTTCTTGTTTATTGTTGATATGCTTAAAGAGGGAGAATATCTAGTCAAATGTATTAATTTATGAAACGAATAATCCTATTGTTATCCATAAAAGAACTATATTAATTTAATTTTAATATATTTTTTAAGATAGCTCAGAAATATTTCCTCTTCTTTTTATCATTATCCAGAAAATTTGAGAATTGTGCTTTTCATTACCTCCTTCATCCAGGAAATCATTATCAATATTTGAATAATGTGAGAAATGGATCTTTAGAGAACAAGGGTTCAAAAAAATGTTTAATTAGAGCCTATATCTCTAAATGAGCAAAATTATTGGCTATCAATTCTTATCTCTATTATTCATAAATGAAGCAATAACTCATGATTAAAAAATATTTTTTATTTAGAGAAATTCCATTGGGAGCATCAATTTATTTTTTTATCATTTTAATCTACATATTTATTTAAATCCTTTGTTAAAGTAATAAAATAGAATTAATGTTTATAATATTTATTTAGACAATCTTAAAATAAATTATTATTTGTTAGCATTCTAAGTAACAACAGTTTTAATTTGCTGATGAGATTGCCATACTTATATATCATAAGGATACTCGTTTTCTAAGAGATTTTAATCTATAAACTATTTATTGCAAACTTAATAATATCAAAGCGTGGAATATTTTTATTTCACAATCATAAACAGCTTACTGACAATAAAATTCAAAAGGCCTTTATTAGTATTATATACGCCAATTATTATTGATTTTACCTAACAGAATTTGTAATACAAAATTTTCTAACACTATTTCAAAAGAGTTTAATATAATCATAATACTATAAATTAGTATTTTTGGCATAAATTCTTAAATATTAAGCAGAGTACATTTTATATAAAGAAATAACGACAGAAGGATTGAATTTTATGATCAATATCTAAGATTTGGAAACCATTTTATCAAATTCAATATAACCTATTGTGATTCTCAATATTCAAAGATTAATTGAATTCAATATTCTCCAAGAAGACATAGCATTGAGAGTTTATTTTATATTCTAGATAAACTTTAAAAGATTTTGACCGAATTCCCAATTCGTAATTTAAGTAAAAATATGAAAACTATCGATATATATTTATAACGCAAGGATAAATTGAATGTTGTTTCTGATTCTGATGAATGGCAAGAATAATACATTTTTTTTAAAGACAAATAAGACAGTTAGATATTCTATATAGATAGATTATGTGTAATTTATTTCTAAAATAACGTATCTCCAAAAAAAGAGAATTACTATTGCAATTGCAAGGAAGAGGAAACGGAGCTGATCGGTTGGTAGATAAATTGATAAATATCTTCTAGTGTAATTCTCAAATTGTAGAAATAGAATAATTGAGTTGATAATTAGAAACAACTGCTCACCTTAGAAACTTAATATTTGAAAATTTGAATATGTTTGAAGAATTGTCTTAATTCATCTTTATAGATTTGTGCTGCTAATTACCAAAATTAACCATGAATCAAATATAATGGTTTACAGACTTTAAGATCTAGATTGCTAAGTCTTTAACACTAATAATTTATTAGTGTAAATTCAGAAGAACTACTGATCAATATTTATAAATTATTAAGTGAAAAAATGGTAATATGAGAATAATATACAATTATGATATCTGAGTTGATCACAAATTTTTAGGCATGCTTATAAATCAAAATAATAAGTTAAGAAAATTATAAATGATTTAGTTGATGATCTCAATTAAAAAATAGAATATCTCAAGTAAAAGAATATTAATGAATTTGAAATTATTGATATTGAGCTGCAATCAATTCAAATAGAATCAATTTTTTAGCCAAAATTTCCTTACAGATATTGCAATCAGAATTTCACAACTAAATCTTCAATAAGTATAGACATTAATTGCTTATAATCAAGCGATTTAGACTATCATTGTTTAAGATCTTTAAAAATGATTTATTGGAAGAAAATGATAAATTGAAAAAGAGAATAAAATAAAATTTTTTAGTTAATGAAAAACAAATAATTAAAGACAATACTTAAAAATTGGTTAATGATTAAATAAATATATCAGTTAAAAATTGAACAGAAAGAATAATATTTGAAATATGAAATTACTATTAAAAATATCAAGAGTCTTTAATGATAATTTGAAATTAATTTTCATATTTAATTAACAGGTAATTTTTTTAAATCTTCTAATTTTTTTTGTTTAATTAGTTAGGTCGAAGTCTTTGAATACATTTATCAATATTTTGATGATAATAATAAATAAATTTGTTGAACTTTGTTATATCTAAACGTTTATTTGTATCTTTTCATTTATTAAGTGATACATTTGAATCAAAAGTACTTACTCTGCTTTTCTACTTGTAAACTGAAATCAATTTATGGATCACAAAGATATTTTGCTATATACTTCAGAATTTTTTTCCTATTCAGTTATTAATTATAGTGTTTCATATTATTCATCCAGCAAATTTTTGATTTTATGGATTGCCAAATAGCTATATTTTAATCAGCTATTGGTAAATATAAATTAATATTGTGAAAACTAGAATCAGAGTGATTAACCCTGAGTAAATAAAAATAAATAATAGTATTATTCTTCGAGAGAATCCTATTTCATTAATTAATTACCAATTTTAATACTAACAAAAGTTAAGAAATTTGTAAAATGTATATGATATTAAAAAATTGATAAATCCCAATATTATCATAATGAAAAGTGTTTCAAAGTTTTCCTAGAAGTAATAATTGATTTAATAGTATTCAAATTATCATTTAGCTATTATGACCATTATGACTTGAACTTAATAATTAAAGATATTTTGTAAATTCTGATCTATTTAAGATTGGAGTAAAAGATAAAATAAAAAATCTCAAAATTAATATTCAAAGCTTTCTGGAAATTCAATATTATGAAATTTCAAACAAAATAATTATGAAACATATCAAGTTTATTCCATGTTTTTTTAATTGCAGCATAAAAAGAAATTCCACTTATAATAATGATGACATAGAATAAAATCCTTCACGTAATGGAGGTTTTTTTCAATAACCCAAAATATGTAAAAATCAGAATCATATATAATTCAAAAAACAGGGAATTTACCTACATGGGAGATAGAAAGAACGAATCTTTAGTTCTCTACTATGGATAAATTTTACCATTTCAAAAAAAAGAATACTATATAAAGAGAATAATTAAAATATATACTCAAAAAAAGTTAGCAATTTCTAATAAAGGAAAACCATTTAAACCTCAAAATATAAACTAATAATTATGTTATGGATTTAAAAAGTAACTCATCAACAGATAATGAAAATATTCTATTAGCATGATAACTCAGGCAGTTAAGGATTACAAACTAAGAATATTATTTTTGCAAATAATTTAATAACGGACCATATAAATCTTATTAAACATTTCAAAAACAATAAAAAAAATAACATAAAAGAAGATAGACAAGAATATTAGATAAAATAATAAAATAGGGATAGAAATAAAAATGAGCGAATATCATTAAAATCTTTACCCTACATGAGTAATAAACACCAAAATAATTAAATTTAAATTAATTACGTGAAATATAAATTCCTCACGCCTGAAACTTGCTCATTAATTTAGACATACAATTTAAACTTTATCTGTTTAAAAGAAGTAAGAGATATCTCAATAAAGGATTCAATAAATTATAAATTCTATTATAAAAGAACTGGCTCACTCATTAAGGTGAAATAAACAAAGATACATAAATAATTCAATTCATAAGGCATTCCTCACTTACCTACTTCCATAAGGATCCACCTAACGCGTTATTTATTTAATATATATATGGGTGAATTTTTACAGACTCTCAAATAATAATTAAGTCATGAAATAATACCGGTATTAAATGGAATAATTATGAAACCAACTGTTTAAATAAGTATTTAGACTACCAAAAAAATACCCCTAAAGCTTTTACTAGGGTATAAAACCACCCTAGTATAAAGAAGAGGATTAAAATATTTCTCTGTGTAAAAATAAGTTCAAGATTATGAAAGTCTTATGCTTATGTTTATAGAAAATGCATAAATGAAAAAAATAAATAATTAAAATCAGATATAATAATAGAAAACTGTTTTGCTATTTAATAAATTTGAGCTAATAATTCATCTTTAAGTATCTATTTATCTTATTTACTTTTAAGTTAATCTTACTTATCGACTTCTCTCTCTATTCCTCTGTATATTAAATCATATATTTAGATCTCTTTTTGTTCCATTATTTAAAACCACTTTCTCTTCTTGAAAAGAAATATATAAGAAATCATTAATACTTCTCTTGCCTTTCATTAATTCACTGTTTCATATTAATTTCCATTTTTATAAATCTATAAAAGTAGTTTATTCTGATAGTAATCAGATTCAAAAACAAAAAACCTAATTAAAAATATATACTGGATAATCAGATTCATAGAAGTAATTAGATTTATCATAATAATCTGTTCTTCAAAGTTTTTGATCAAATTGATAGATTTAAGATTCCATTTATAGATCAATATATAATTATCCAAAAAAAAATAAATGCTATTATTTAATTATTGTTGAGATATGAAAAAATTTCATGTTTTTAAGCATCATTTTGTGTTTAGTAAAGAATTAATAAATCATCAATAATTTTAACTTCAATAAAAAATTTAATTATCTTTTTTTTCTTTTGGCGATAAGAAAAATGCTTAAAAGTCTTAAGATTAGGAATTATTATTAAAAGTATTGATCTATTATAACCCAAAAACTCCTTTTCTTATAGATTACTTATATCAAAAGATATATATAAACCTCATATTATATAATTGGGGAGAGATATGCAATTATATCTAATTAATAGGAGGCCTATTAGATTATTTATTTATATTTTTTCAAAATTAGAGTTATTTTCCCTCACTATAAGGAATCTCACATTTAAATTGAAAAAGTAAATGGATTAGCAAAAGTTAAATTACTATAATTTGATAAGTTATAATCAAATTTTGATACTCCCAACTTGATTTCATTTACATAAGAACTTGGGGACAAACATTTAAAAATGTTATTATTAATTAATGCTAGAGAGAAGAAATGTAAATATTTTATCCAAATACTAGATCTGTAAAGATCTTTCAGATTTATTCATAGAATTTAAGAAATTAAAAAAACAAAAGAGATTCTAAATTATTTTTTTGAATAAGAATTATCGAAAAGAATCTTATTAACAATCCTATAATAAATTTTCAAAAAGCATATCTAAATACCATCCTTAAATATCTATGATTGTGATTAGATTAGGTTATTAAATTTCGAAATGTATCCTCGATTAGTCTTTATAAAAGGACACAAATCTATAATCCTGCCATCATAATAAACTGGATAAATATGATTATTATCAATTAATCTTGGTTATTATTGAAAAAAAAGCAAAATATAAATTATATTTATTTAATAAAATAGTTAATTTTCAATTAAACTTAATTTATTCTAATTCTTTTCAATCTAGAATTATATAATATTAAATGATTGATGAATTAATTATCAATAATAAATTGAATAATTTATTAATAAATCATTATCTTAACTCTTTTTTAAAACCGATTTGAAGGAGCAAATAGAAAAGAATATTAAATTAAATGAATCTAATATCATTTAAATATTAGGATTAACATAATTGTATGGATATCAAAGAATGGTCAAAAAAAAATACACATGGCAATACAATGGATTAATAGCATAATTTCTCATTTATAAA